CCACGGGTGAGGAGCCCACCGCCATCGTCGCCACCGACCCTTCCCTCACCGCGTCCGCCTCTCCCGTCTCCTCCACCAGCTCTACCTCCACCCACCCCGCCGCCACCATCACCCACCCCGCCGCCACCATCACCCACCCCGCCGCCACCATCTCCCACCCCACCTCCACCATCTTCCACCCCACCTCCACCTTCGTCAACATCACCACCACCTTCCACAACCTCCCCACCTCCGCCTACATCCTCCCCATCTCCCACTTCCTCCCCCTCCCCGGTACCCTCCCCGTCCAAATCGTCCCCACCGCCGCCATCTGCACGCCCAGGCAAGCGCCCAAGTGCGCCCCCGCCCAAGGCCGCCAAGGCGCCCAAGCCCCCGCCACCAGCCAAGGCGCCCAAAGCTCCCAAGACGTCCAAGGCGCCTTTCGTGCCTAAGTCACCTTTCGTGCCCAAGTCACCTTTCGTGCCCAAGTCACCTTTCGCGCCCAAGACCCCCAAGGAACCCACACCAGGCAAGGCCCCTAAGGCCTATCGAAGCCCCAAGCCGCCCAAGTAGAGGCGGTCTTGCTTGGCGAGCACCCGCTGACGGAACCAGCCAGTTGCGTCAGTCAACAGCAGCACCTGTCCTAGCCGGGGGTATGCATGCTGTACCCGGACAGGGCAGTGATGTGCGGAGTGCAGTGTGCGTGCTGGTGGGGGAGTGTCGGACCGCCATGCCCGCATTTATAGGCATCAGCGTAACCACTTCAACTCGCAGGACCGCCATGCGGCGAGCTGTAGCGGCACTGCGTTAGGCAGGGCCTTCTTGCCATGGGCAGGAGCTTTACTTAGGCATGGCAGTGACGTCGGTCCACTGCTGCTCAGTGTGCGCGGACGGGAAAGCGAAAACGCAGCGGGGACGTGGCGGCTGGACAGCGGCTGTGGACGTCAAGTCCTTGAAGCCGTGCATGCGTCCTTCACGAACCGCGTTCTCAACATATCAAAACTGCATGGCGACCGACCTATCTACCTCTACTCGCAGAGCTTGGTGGCTTTGGTGCACACACATGCCACGTTAATTACTCGAGGGGTGAATGGTTGTCGCCACCAGCACTGAAACTGTCGCATTTTTTTGCTTTCATCCATTGATATTACGCATGGAAAGCTGTGGAAAGTCGTAGAGACTTTTATTTGAGTTTCGGCAAAGGTACATAATGATTTTACATATTATGAAGCCCCCAGATTGTGGGGTTATGACAGATATTCCCATGTGGTCGCTCCGGAAGGGATCACCGAAAATCTCATAGAAAAAACCCCGGTATGTTATTCGCTGAGTGGAGCGCTCACATGCGCTTCGTTCCAAATTGTGGCTGACTGCGTGGTGATGGTGGTGTACATGTGCAGGTTGGCTATCGCCGTGTTAGTGATTGATGAGTAATTCAGAGACTTAAGCTGTTGTATGCGAAGATTGTACCGATAAGTGGATAGTAGATATGTTGTGTATTAAACCAGTTGTTACAACACGTTTTAAAAAATGTACCAATCGGCGGATTCAGATCCCGTGATATTCCCAGGATACTAAACCAGGCAGCGGATACAGAGCAATTTCCACGATGCACGTTACTTAGATTAAGAGGTAGAGCAAGGGAAAAAGGCAAGTCCCTGCCATAAATACAAGCGATGTCCTGTCCATGATAGTTCGCTCCAGAACCAGTACCGTGATTTCTCCACGCTACGATACGCCCAAGTCCTGCGCGAGCTATCAATACTTTCCACAAGCAGAATTTTGGTGCGCTCATAACAAAAACTCAGCTGACTCCCATGCCCCTCGCCGGAACATCACACCACACAGCTACCACCAACCCGCAATGGGCATGGCGCGGTAGTAGTGCTTATGGACCGCCTGAGCAAAATGACGCACTTTGCGTCCCACAAATACATCCATCGATCTGGGTGTGGGTGTGTGTTACACGGTCGTGGGGTGCGCTCCCCGTACACACCTGCAAACCGCCCAATACGAGCCGAGGGCTGAAGGGCTGCCAGATCGCCTAGAAGCACCATCCTACCTCGCACTTTAGACAAAGCAAGTGGTAAAGCACACTAACGACCAAAGGGGACGATAGAGTTGCGGTGGGAACATATACGTTACAGCATCCTTGCCAGACGTTCAGGTTCCCACTTCATAGTGTCCTTCATGTGCTCGAAACGTGGGGGAAATCCAACCCAGATCTGATTTCTGATTCGTACACCGGCCAGTCCAGCAAAATGTGCTTCTGATCTTCAATATGGCTATCAGTGCCGCAGCAGGGCCTACTCGCTCCTCCTAGTTATATAACGCCGTCCCTTGCGCACTCTGTTAGCCGCCAATGCCCAACAGCAAAGCCTAAACCGCGTAAGCATGCGATTCGCTGAACGCGGGATGAATGTTGTGATATGCGGGAGTACCTCCTTCCTGCCCGCTTGCTCAGCCGCTAGACTCATCCAATGCCTATACTTCGCCACCTGGATTCCTGGTTGCTTGCCGTCTGATGGGTACAGGTCTGGCTGGGCATCTAGACGCGTGTGCATCCAACCGCTCATCAACCGATCCTTGAACTCCGATACCAAACCTCCTCTGTGCACCCCCGAGGTCGGGCTACTGCCGGCTGTTGGAGAACTTGGCGGTGGAGGACCCGCGCGCCTTCCTGTTCCACTACTACAACTTCTACTTTGCACATATGGCGGGTGGCAGAGTGATCAGGGCTAAGGTGCGTGCTGGTGTTGCGCCGGGTTGTGTGTGGGGGAGGTGTGGGGGGTGTATGTGGGGGGTGGGGAAATGGGTGGGGACAGGGAGGTTGAGGAGGGGGCGGGTGGTGGCCGGCGGTCAAGGGTGAGTCTTCCGAGTGAGTGCTGTGCGGGCATGCACGGATTGCTGATGTGGCGGGGCTCGAATCGTACATATGATGTTCACTTTATTCGACCTCCACCGCGTGCTTTTATTTGCGTATTTCATCCGTAAGGATATCCCCAAGGATACGAACAAACGCATAGACATGCGGCCATTCTTCTCCCATATTGCACCCGTATTTACCGGCTCTCCCTCCGCTGATTTGGTTGCTCCTTGCACCCAATGATTCTCCCCTCCTGCGCCAATTGGGACGTCTGGCTTCAAGTGACAGCCATGTTGCTGGACAGCCATAATCTGGAGTTTTACCGTTGGCCAGCTGGCGATGTGAGCGAGCTGTGAATGGAGCGAGTCTGCAAGTCGCCACCGGGTGAACGGAGGGAATGGGAGGGAGGGAGAGGGGGAAGGGGGGTAAATGCTTCATGAGGATTGGGGGAGTTTGGTGAGAGCTCGAGGGTGCTGTGCGCGGTGTGTGACGCTGCATTCTGGGGGCGAGGTGAGAGGGGAATTCATCAGTACGGAACCGGAGGCCTTCGCAAAATGTCGGAATACTTCAAAAGCATTACGACGCATTTTATACGTATCATTTGTAAAAGATGGGGGCCCTTGTGAAGCAGCTGCCCGCGTTTCTAAAGCACGTATGGTGTTGGATTGTATGGTGCCCAAGTACGTTTGCGAGGAAGATAATGTGGCCAGGCTGGAGAGGAAAGTGCAGTGGCATATTGGAATGTGAGATTAGCGTAAGCGAGTTACAGGGCGTTTTATTGCACGGGCGAATTTACGTGCAAATCTTTCACCGTAGCATCAGTCCTCAGTTCATTTCTTGGAACGAACATCAGCATAGGTGCAAGCCCTCTCGCTTGGGGGGATATGCAAACAAACATCCTGATAGGGGTAAACTCGCATGCTACCGAGCATTCAACCGAGCACATGCATGCTTAGTTGAATGGTGAGATGCGACCCCCCCTTCATTTCGTGCTCGGCAAGCCTGCCACCGCGTACCGGATATGTTGGCGATGTTACAGAACGCTGCACCTTGGTTTCTGTGCGCAATGCATACGTTGCTCGACCCCGCCGACCAAAACTACACGTGCCCAACTGAAGACACACCGGTGGTTGTGCAGCAGCTCTTGAGGCTTTGTTGGCTGAAATCCATCCTGAGACGCTGCACCTCGGTACCTGTGCGCAATGCGTACGCTGCTCGCCCGCGCCGACCAAAACTACGTGT